GAGAAATAAACATCCATGTGAGAGGGGAACATCTATGGGCTGCCTCCTGCAAGCCCTCTACTGGAGATCAGGCCCATAACCCAGGTATGTGCCCAGGATTCAAACTGGCAGCCTTTCTTTGTACAGGACAATGCCCAACCAACTGAGCCACACCAGCCAGGGCTGTCATTGAGCTCTTTCAGTAACTGACATCACATGCCTTCAAGAGAATGTCAAGGTATATATAGAATAAACTCACTGTCTCATGTTATCACTGGATTCTTAGATTTTTTAAATAGTTTACCACCTCTTTAGGGAAAGGCTATTCTAACGGCAGTTAATCAAGTTTCTGAAAGATGTAGTCGATGAGTGTTTGCCCATGAAAAAGTATCTTTAGAAAATGTGGTTGACTCAGTCTTTCTTTATCCCATTGAGTAGCAGCAAAAGAGTGAGAGGCACTGTGATGTCCTCCCCAGCAGGCTCACCTGGCTTCTTCACCTGCTGACAGAGGGGAAACCTCAAAGTACAAGGACTTTTCCAGCTTCTTCTGTTTCTGTTGGTCAGAGCAAGTCAAGGTCAACTTGGGAGAGAAGTACTCAAGGGCATGGGCATATGATTTGGGGGTCATTACTCTATCAATCTACCACATACATAAAATCCCGTACATGACCTGAAATTTGTGGGGGAGAAAAAAAAGATAATTTTCATACTACTTTAAACTTGTACCTCATTTCTGGATCTGGTCACTGGATTATTATATTTTTACTAGTGGCCTGGTGCATGAAATTTGTGGTGGGGGTTGTCCCTCAGCCAGGCCTGCACCCTCTCCAATCTGGGACCCCTCAAGGGATGTCCAACTGCTGGTTTAGGGTATCGGGCCTAAACCGGCAGTCAGACATCCCTCTCACAATCCGGGACTGGTGGTTCCTAACCACTCACCTGCCTGCCTGCCTGATCACCCCTAACTGCCCCCCTCCTGCCAGCCTGATCACCCCCAACTGCCCCCCTGCCAGCCTGATTGCCCCCAACTACCCCCTCTGTCAACCTTCTCACCCCCAACTGCCCTCCACTCCTGGCCTGATTGCCCCTAACCGCCTCTGCCTCGGCCCCGCCACCATAACTTTTGTCCAGCAGGTCTCCCGGTCTAATTAGCATATTACCCTTTTATTAGTATAGATTAAGCCTTCTAATTACCTCATAAATCACATGATCACTGCATTTGGGGGGTTACTTCTGTTGAAGGTATTTATTAAATTTAAACATTGGCAACACACACACACACACACACACACACACACACACACACACACCTGCCTAACAAGTATGGCTCAGAGTTTGAGCATCCACCTATGAACCAGGAGGTCACAGTTTGATTCCTGGTCAGAGCACATGCCCAGTTTGTGGGATCAATCCCCAGTGTGGGGCATGCAGGAGGCAGCCAATCAATGATTCTCTCTCATTGATGTTTCTATCTCTCCCTCTCTGAAACCAATAAAAATATATTTAAAAAACAACAACATATAAACCAACAACAACAAAAAAGAGTTGGTGGAAATTCATTTCAGCTCAGGGTATAGGCCTGGTTTGTCTCAAGGTATTCCATTCTCTTTGCTTAGTGATTAGTTCAAGGAAGGGCTGAGGTTGCAATTTGGGCCAATGAGACAGAGAAGAGTTTTACTAGAGGCTTCAAGAATTTGTTTTCTCTCCTGAGAACCACAACAGCCATCCTTTCTCACCCTCCTGCTGGATCTTAATGGGGAGGCATAGAGCACCCATGCTGTGGGTAGCCATCCTGACTCAAGGGAGAAGATACTAGTAGCCGTGGGGTGACACCAACACCAGATGGCAGAGCAGAGGGAAGGAAGGAATCTGGGTCTTTAGCATTATTGAGCTTCCAGATAAACCAGTCCTCAGCCTGCTCTTCCTGTGAAATTTCCAAGGGTGAACCAGTGACCTTCCTCATCCCTTAAGCCAGTTTTGGTCAGATTTTGGTACTTGTAGCTGTTAGCATTCCACCTTCCATGGCCACTGTTTGGGAGGTACTGTACCAGAGCTGTGGTGCGTCAATATAGCATGTGGCCCAATGTGGAGCACAGAGTAGAGTGTTCACATCTCACTTTCCACCTGGACATCTAGCCCAGAAGGTCTCCCACTCTCTCCGCCAAGGGGCTTGTTCAAAGTATCTTGCCAGAGTCCACTCGCACAACAAATATTTGAGTGCCTGCTATGCACACGGAAGCCAGATTACTCTTTCTACAACAACACTCTTGGCCTGGTCCTAACCTACTCAAAAGTGCCCGGTGGCTTCCCCTGACTTTACAATGAAGTTCTGGCCAGTGAGCCTGACACTCAAAGCCCTGTGAAAGCTGACCTCACCTTCTAGTCTCAGCTCCCCCCTGAGCTCTCTACTGTAGGAGGACTCATCACCTGTCTTCTGAACACTTCATGATGTTCCATCTTGGACCTTTCCCTCTCATCATAATCCTCCCAACCTCCAAAGCCGAGGATGGCAATCCCACCCCCATCCAACCTTGAAACTGTCTCTTTGCTTGGTTTTACTTTAACACTTGACTCCCCCATGAGCATCATCCTTTGACATTATATCAAGGAACTCATATATTCTTTCCTATCAATAGATTAACTGCATCCCTAGGTTGGCCTGCTTAGTGTATTTTAACAACTAATTTTTACTATGATGAGCTGTATGCTTGTGCAGCCATTCATTAGTTCATTTATTGATCACCTGCTATGAACCAGTCCCACATACTATATCCTGGGGACTAACTCACTTCTCAAGAGAAAGACAGTTATTACAATGACATAATGACTGTATTCGAGGTAAGGGAGCATGGTGGGGTGGGAGCAACTAGTTCTGATTTCCCACCTAGAGAAGAGAGGAACAGCATTCCAGGCAGAGGGAACAGTACTGCAAGGCAAAATGGTGTTTGTGAGGAACAGGGTGGAAGTTTGTTTGGCTGGGGTCTTAGGCTGCAGCACTTCTCAGACTTCAGTGGGCACACAAATCACCAGGGGGCTTCTGCAGGCCTGGGCTGGGGCTGATGTTCTGCATTTGTAGAGAGATCCCTTGAGTTGCAAGGCCTGGGAGGACTAAGACAGTTCCTGGTGGGTACCCTCTTCAGCTTTCCTTCAAAAAAGACATGAGTGCTATTTGTTCCAAGTGAGTGTCTCCTAGAGGGAAATAGGATGTGTGTCTTGGGTTCCAGGGCAGACCTAATATTTAATATTGGCTCTTACATCTTTCTCATTCATCCCAAATTCCCACCATTGACTAGGATCAGAGGTTTTTAACCTGTGGGTTGCGACCCCTTCACAGGGGTCGCCTAAGACCATCGGAAAACACATATAATTACATATTGTTTTTGTGATTAATCACTATGCTTTAATTATGTTCAATTTGTAACAATGAAATTGGGGGTCCCCACAACATGAGGAACTGTATTAAAGGGTCGCGGCATTAGGAAGGTTGAGAACCACTGGACTAGGTGATCCCACACCCCCTCAAGAACTTTCTCCAAGCCTAGGAGGGACAGTGCCAGTGACCCCCGGGCACTAGGTGGTGACAGTGATATACCCTGTTACCCTTAACATTCAACAAGGGGTAGTTTAATTTGATTTATACTGAATACGGTAAAATCCTCACTCATTAACCTGAAATGGGTGATAATTTGGATAGTCATTGTTTATTCTTCAAATCATTTCTTCATAAGTAGGATAAAGTTTCATAACACAGTTATGATCATAAAGATGATTAAAACATTTTAAAAAGATTTCAACTAAACTTACATGAAGCAACTACAGGGCGTCCCAAAACAATGCATACACACTTTAACAGCTCAATTTTGAAAATGAACTGTATTTTAATAAACACTGCCTTTATAATTATTCAAAGTATCTGTGTACATTTTGGGGGGACACCCTACACTTATATATATAAGTAATCATCTACTCTTTATAAGTAATTCTGTAATTTGTTTATTTCCTAAAAAGCTCTAATAGATAAGGGGTTGATCTACCTCCAGGGCTATAAGGAAACAACAACAATAATCGTGACAGCACATATTTATTAAAGCTATAACATCTTTTCTATACAATTGTGATGTGAAGAATCAAAAACTTAAAAGCAATTTTTAAGAAATTACATTATTGGATTTTTGGTCAAAAAGCATCCATTACAAGAAGGCCCCAGTACCTGTATGTAAATGATGAGCCTTGAACTGTGCTGTGAAGTCTATTTCGAGCTAAGGTCGAAGGGAAACTAGAAATGGAAGGACACTCTCCCTCAGGGGACACTGATGCATTTCATTTGATGAACTTCTAGAAAGAACAAACTGGGTGGGGAAAGGAAAAACTACTTGCTATTCTATAAGGCTGCATTTTAGCTTAATCTGAGGCATCTCACTTGGATTTCCTTCCATCCCCCAATTTTCACTAAATATTGTTAAAAAACTGAAATTTGAAAAGCGGAAACAAAATGGGATTTTCAAGCCATGTCTACCTAATTGTCAATCTGCCTTTACCTACAAATGTGTTCTTGTGATCATTCATCATATTAATCTTCAGAATACTTATGACAAATATTTGTGACATAATGTAATGTTTTGAGATTATCATCACAATTGTTTTACCTGTTTCTCTGTCCAGGTGCATATTAAATTAAAATAAATTAATCCCTTGGGTTTTATGAGTGGACTGAAGGCCCAGTGCATGATATTCATGCACAGGTAGGATACCTAGTGGCTGCCGGCTGCCGCCTGCAGCCTATCTTCCCTGGCTGCCAGCTGCCTGCCAGAGCCTTCCTTCATTCCATGCCATCCCCTGGTGGTCAGTGAATGTCATAGAGAGCAATCAAACTCCTGGTTGGTTAAACTCCTGAGAGGACACTGCATATTAGGCTTTTATATGTATAGATTAACAAAACAATGAAATACATTTAGGTTTAAGTGACATCATTTTGGTAAACTACTAAGGTATTTTAACTTCTAACATATTGTATTGATGCATTTTATACAATTAAAGTCTTCTCTTTCCTTTAAGATCTGTCATTTTTTATAGATGACTTTTCCTTTAGCTATAACATACTCGATTAATTCGTTATGGCCTCCAAACTGGTAAATCAAATGCTCCCATCTAGAAAGAAATCAAACATTACTTCAATACATACAAGTCAAAATTATCACTATCCTTAAATGCTAATTTAAAAATACATTCTCTAAAAGTTTCTTTATACCTACTCATTGATATTTGGGCTTTAAAAAATGGCATATTACTTACTAACTAGCCTATGATAAATCAAATAATGTTTAATAATACCATTTAAGTATTTGAACTTAAAATATTTGATTCAATTAAGTAATGCACAAATGGTAACAACATCAACATTGTTTTCAGGAGAGAGAGTGGCCATGGCTGGTGTGGCTCAGCTGGTTGGAGTGTTGTCCTGTATGCCAAAAGTTGGCTGGTTCAATTCCTGGTCAGGGCACATACCCAGTTTGCAGGTTAGATCCCCATCCAGGGTATGTATAGGAGGTGGCCGATCAATGCTTCTCTCTCTGTGTGTCTCTGTCTCTCTTTCATTCTCTTTCCAAAAAAAGTAATAATAATAAACTTTTTTAAGAAAAAAAAATGAGGGTGATTTATGACCACAGAGAGTAGAATTACAGAGCCACGCTCTTCTGTTGAAGGTGAGGTCCAAGAGCTGGGATAGGCTCACTAGAGTGAGGGATCAAAGATTTAGAACAAGAAGACTCAAACTGTCACATGGGAGACCCAGATGGCAGCAGACTGTGGGTGAGTAATTAGAAACCAGGACAGGAACACTGACGTGAGGATTTTGGGATCCGGAATCAGGGTGACAAGCTGAAGTTGGGACCTGTGTGGCCCAGTGTAAGCAGAAGGTCAGAAGCCAAACAGAAAAACAAAAACATATGCCAGAGGACACAACAAGTCCAAAGTCCAGGTAGAAGAGTAGAAGCCTAGAGATCTATGAAAGATATAAGGTGGATGAAGACACCGGAAAACGGAGTCTACCCTGTGGTTTAGGACTTGTAGAGAGACTTTGTTGTAAAAGGATGAAGATAGACGGGACTGGGTAGCTTCTGAGCCTACACTAATAGAGCCTGACACTAATAATTCGTGAAAAGGGGTTTTAAACCAGGTCTACATCCCACAAGAGGCTTAAAACAGCTTAGCTGGGGATTCACTCACCTGGATGAATTGATGATAATGAGATCTCCCTGTTTGCCAACTTCCAAAGATCCATGTGTGTGAGATTTTCCCAGTGCATAAGCAGCATTGATGGTGGCTGCGGCCAAGGCCTCGGGCATGGACATTCTCATGTTTACACAGGCCAGATGCATGACCATTGGCTGAGATGGAAGAGAAAAGCGTCAGAGGAAAGTAACAAGAGGGCAACTGCTACCTGGGACATTTCTCCAACATAGCACAACAAATAATGGTGATTAAATGTGTAGGTGGAAATGGCTTGATTGATATGGGAACATTTAAACTTACACATAAAGGTTCTTATGCTTTAGGAAAAAATCCTTTATTATCAAGATTACCCCCATGTGTATTTAATATTTATTTACAACTTTTCAAGACCACTTAGGGTAGAAAATAAAGCTCCCCTCCATGCTTACTCACTAAAACTTCTTTGAGTTTATCCTATTCTCCAAGGGGAAAAAATGGCTTATTATAAAACAATGCCCAAGGCTATCAGAAAACAATGCAAACAGGACCTTTTCTCCTTTCTCTCTGCAGAAAAATCCAATTACACTACTATCTATATCTTTTTTCCTTGTTACACAGGAAAATATTTTTTTGATGTTTGGTACATTTAAAAAAATATTTTAAATTATTTATATGCTTGGTAGAAGTTTGATACTCTGCCCTGAAAGGCATATTGAAAATAATTACCATTGAAAAGCAATAGGCATTAGGGTTGAAGTCACTGCCCAAAGCAACTATTACTCCTTCATCTAACATCTTCCTGGCGCGAGGTTGCTTCAGCCTAAGGGAGGGGGAAAAAGATGTCAGTATCCAGAATGGGAGCTTTTGCAGAATAGATGTTCCAAATGGAAGGAGACTTAAGATATCCAACCCTTATCTCTTCTGGGAGAAGAAACAGAAACTCAAGGTTAAGTGATTATTGGTTGATATTTCCTGCTTGTAGCCTATGTTAATGTATGTGTATAAGATCATAGTAAGTTTCAGGATAGCACTGAAATAGTTCTTTCCTCTACCTTATAACCATTACTCAAAGCCTTGCTTTTCAATCCCTAAGACAGCGTTTTTCAACCTTAGCGCAATTCATTTCTTGGGCTGGATAATTCTTGGTTGTGGGGTTGTTCTGTGCATTGTAGGATGTGTAGCAGAATCGCTGGCTTCTATTCATCAGATGTCAGTAGCACCACTTAGTTGTAACAAACAAAAAATGTCTCCAGACATTGACAAATGTCCCCTGAGGGGCAAAAATCACTCCAGGTCGATAACCACTGTGCTAAGGCCATACCTGCTGAATCACCGCCTTGAAAACCAGGTATCCCAACCTCACAGAAAGCACCTGGCTATAAGAGGATAAAACGTCTCTTGAATGCCGGCCTCCCTGACCACAAACTTGTGGTCGTTATGCAGGTGGCACAAAGGAAAGGGTCAGAAGGGTCTCAGATTTGGTAGAGTTAGAGCAATGGCAGTTACACAAGATGGACTAAATGTATTCAATCCACAGAGGGCACACAGCACAATTCCTGGAGAGATTTTTACAGAATAGACATCTCCTCTTTCCTCTCACCCCCAGGATTTATAAGCATTCTGGTACACAATTGTGCACCCACACTCAACTTCTCAGAAAACAGCTCATGCAGATTTTGAATACTGTTAAATATCCCTAATATCTTATGCATGTTTTTGTTTGTTTTGTTAGAGAGGAGGGGGGGGGGAGAGAGAGAGAGAGAGAGAGAAGAGAAAAACATCAATTAGTTGCCTCCCATAAGCACCCTGACCAGGGATCAAGTCTGCAACCTTTTGGTGTATGGGACAACACTCCAAGCATCTAAGCCAGGGGTCCTCAAACTTTTTAAACAGGGGGCCAGTTCACTGTCCCTCAGACAGTTGGAGGGCCGGACTATAGTTTTAAAAAAAACTATGAACAAATTCCTATGCACACTGCACATATCTTATTTTGAAGTAAAAAAACAAAACGGGTGTACGTGAAGCTCTTGTGTGGGGGTGAGGCCGACCTCACCTGAGCATATAGGCCGTGGTGGGCAGAAGAACCGCGGAGCACCCAGCCGTTGCCATGGCAGCAATGCCTTCATCACTCACTTCTTCCAGGTGACTGATGGCCCGGGCTCCCAGTTCAGCCCCGAGCTAAGCAGAATGAACAGAGAGAAAAAGATTTAACCAACAGCAACAACAAATTAATAAAGTGCCATAAAACTGCTTTTCCTGCCAAGATAAACAGCACTCTCTTATGAAGATTTCCTGTCAACTACCTTTCACAAGCACCAGCCCCAAAATGGATAAAAGGTTTGTGAGGGACATTCATTTGAAAATTAGCTAGTGTGCTGCTTTAACAACTATTTGTCTACACAAATGCTTACTGACATTCTTTAGGTATTTGCTGAAAAAGAAAACGTTATGGATCTTATGAATCAGAATAAAACACTGAGTAATATTGATAACAAAATCTATTATACCATCATAAAATCACAATAAAAATGTACCTTGGAATGCCATTGCTCTCAATGAAAACAGATAATCAGTTAAGAAAACACACTTTATTCTACGGTCATACCACCCTGAAAGCACCCGATCTCGTCTGATCTCGGAAGCTAAGCAGGGTCGGGCCTGGTTAGTACTTGGATGGGAGAAAACACACTTTAAAAATGTGGATCATGTGTGTAATTTGAGAATACTCCTTGAGCTTGAGTTCTCTCCAGATGAAAAGTTTGGCTACATTGTTAGAAAAAAACCAAGAAGAGGCAATGCTATGAGGATCATGGAACCACTAACGTGGATTTCTTCTCATCTTGACAATTTTACTCTCTCTCTCTCTCTCTCTCTCTCTCTCTGCCCAGGATGAAAAGTGGTATGTTAAGAAGACATATTCCAAGGAGAGGAGAGGAGACAATATTTGACGTTGCACTGCGGCCCAGGGCAGCTGCAGTCCCCCCAACACCAGGGCAGGAAGGGCCCCTCATCAGCAGCTGGCTCAGGTCTAAAAGCGTCAGGACCACAGGACAGACTATGCTCCCCCAGAAGAGTTCCTTTCTGACCTTGGAATCACCCTCACTTTCCCAAACTTGATTTGCTCATCCCGGGTGTTGACCTCTATTGATTTAATTCACCAGTCACTCTCTACGGCCAAAGGTATCTTGTTGACCACCCCTTTCAGGTGTCACTTAACAAATATTCAACAACTATTTACTTAGTAAAGGCCATGGGTATGCCAGGCACTGCGCTAAGCCCCAGGGACAGGGCTGCATAAGACATGGGTGCAGTCCTCAGTGTTTGCAGTCCAGCAGGGATCGCAGAGGCAATTTTAACACAGTGGGATAAGTGCAGGAGGAGCTGTAACCCACTGCTGGAGAGCTTTGGGAGGGACCCCAGAGAAGCTGAGGCTAAGATGAAACATGGAAGGGAGTTAGAATTAATTGGACAAGGGGGAATTCGGATTAGAGAAACAACATGTGCAGGGCTGGTAGTTGAATGTGGCTGGTCCACCGTAGACAGGGTGAAGGTGGTGAAAAGGGGGAGGAGAGAGAAAGGAAGATAGAGAGGTAAACTAGGGCTGGATCCTGGCAAGCCTACATATAAGGAGTTTGGAATTCACCCTATGAGCAATGGTAAGCCTTTTGGTGGTTTTAAGCAATAGAGAGGACGGATAGATACACTACGAGGATGGATTACAGAGACAGATTCAAGTGGAGGCAAGCTTGGAGGCAAGAGCAGTTGTTACAGGAAACCAGGTGAGAGCTGATGGTGGTTGGACCCAGGCAGTGGGGTGAAGAGATGTGGACCTAGAGAGATGCAGCAGGAAATTGGCAGGACTTGTTGGTTGGTTGAAATGTGGTAGGTGAAGGGGAGGGAGGAGTCAAATGATTGGGTTTTTGATTTAGGCAATAGATAATGGTGTCATTCACTGGGGCAGGAAACACAGGACACAATTTGGAAGTGATTTTAAAAGCTCAAGCAGGACATGTGGTTAAGACACATGTGGGGTATCTACATCTGTATTTATACCCAAGGGAAGTTGTCCATTTAGTGCCTCACCCCCCTCAAGAGCTGTCTTATTCACTGATGAATTCTCCATGCCTTCAACAGTGCCTGGCACACACTAGACACTCCAATATTTGTTGAAAGCATAAATAAATGAATCTGGGTAAGACTTATAGATTTGAAAATCATGTCCTCGCTATTAATGGTGTGCTTCACTCACGTTCATCTGAATGATGCCACGGAAAACCCTAGGAGCTGCATGTGAAATTAATAAACTCTGCTAGTATGGCTTTCTGTACCAACCAAAATAGGTTGTGGATTTAATCAGTGAGATCACAAAGGTACTTCTTTCCTACTAACATCACCAGCAGGTGATAATAAAAGTAAATTACCAGCCTGGCCGGAGTGGCATCGACCTGTGAACCAGGAGGTCACAATTCAATTCCCGTTCAGGGCACATGCCTGAGTTTCGGACTTGCTCCCCAGTAAGGGTCATGTGGGAGGCAGCTGATAAATGGTTCTCTCCCTCTCCCTTCCCTTCCTCTTTGAAATTTAAAAAACAAAAACAAACAAAACAGCAAAAAAGTAAATTTCTAATAGAGGTCAGGAATTCCAAGGCTCAACCTGAGCAATCTGCACATTGTTCAAACAAATTTCCCCACTCCCTATCTTTTCAGAAGGCCGCTCCTGTCTTTGAACAAACTAGGTAAGTTTTCCATAACCTGAGTGTTGACAAAGGAAAAGCCAAAAGTCAACTGTACCTCCGCAGCCTTCATCGGGTGGAGTTCATCCCCATGGAAGTTAATCTGTAACCCTATATCTTTTCCACCTTGAAGAATCCTTCTGGTAGAATCCAGGTCAAAGACACCCTTCTCACAGAACACATCTATATTGTCAACGTGAATCTGCCCACTTCTGCCAAGTTCCTTCAGCTTTGGGAGGTGGTTATTGATGATGTCATCAGCAGCTTCAGTAGCAGTTTTTCCTCTGAGGGAAGAAAATAATATTTCCATGGACAAATATATTTTTTAACTGGAAGAAGGGTTTCTTGGTGCTTGGAGAACCTGAGAAACTGTAGGTAAATAACCTCAAGCCTCAGAAAAGTACAGAAAGAATCAAAGCTATTAACAATTGTGATATCCCTCGCAGCAGAGGTATGGATAAGACTTCTATATGCTCTGACCCTATTCACAGAGACTCAAATGGCTCATCCATTCTGGCACACCAGTGTTGCCTTTGGGAATGCCGGCAAGGTCATCTGGCTGAAAAAACAGAATCCACTTTTCAAGGGCACCTAGAGGGCATCCTGAAGGCGTCCCTGACAACCCAACTGCAGGCCTTTTACCTGGGCCCCAGCTATCACCCTGTCTTTTTCTCCTCTACACTATTTCTAGAAGCGTCTGCCTAAGGCTTCCTGTCTCACCATTTGGGGACATGGAAGAAGAGGCTAGTAGAAGGCCCCAAAATTCTCAATGAGATTCTGGGGTAGTTATATATTAGGAAGGGCTGGGCTTTTGAAGTCAAATACACACAGAGCTCTACCGCTTGCTAGCTACCTAACTCTTTGGACACGTGATTTAGCTGTCCTTTGGCATACTCTGAGTCTCAGGCTTTATCACTGGGCACCAAGACGCAGACCTCAGAGGCTCATTGGCAGATGGAGAAACCTCTAAAACTTTAGTCCCATAATTGGCACATAGAAGCCTCTCATTCAGTGAAAACCAGTCAGGTAGGTAGATAGAGGAGACGGGCACTTACATATAATTCTCAAGATAATCGTATAAAATAGGGTGTTATGTAGCTATTTTATAGATTAGTAATTCATGTTCAAAAAGTTAGAAGATGCCTGAAAATCACCCAACTGGAAGTAGTTAAGCTGGATTCAGACCCAGGTCTGCTACCTCTCCAAAGTTTGAGTCTTTTCTACCATGTTACACTGTCCTTTTACCAAAAAAAAAACAAACCAAAAAACAGGCTATCACACACCTTATATTCCATTTGAAAAAAATCTGTTTCTATAGACAGGCTCTTCCCAGAAGTCTTAGGGCAGTTTCAAGCTTTAATAATTTCAGAAGTATAAATGCTAAAGACATACAATAAACGTAATTGGAAATATGAAGTATGTACTTGTGCTTCTCTTCTACGTAATTCGTTTTCACTTTTTAATAATAAATGTCAATGTTAATTTCTTTAGTTCCTCTGAAGATGGTAAACACAAAATTACCATGAAAATGTTCTGTTTTAGAGTTCCCGAAACGAAATACATTTTATAAAATATATAAATTCTTTTTTCAAATAATTTTTTGCAAGCCTGTAGCATTTATATATCTAAGTTGTCAAAACCTAAAACTGCACTGAGACTGTGGAGTAGCTTGTGAATTTCCAAGTCCTGGATTTCTTTGGGATCTTTTAGTTCCGGGACTGCCTTCCGGTCTAGACATTCCAGGACACAGAAGATGCAGATGCAGCAGGAGACAGCCATCCTCATCTCTCTTTTTTAACCCAAAGAGTTGTGAGCATCTCTTCTTCCTTCACCATCAGGGCACTAGCAAGTGATGGGTCTGGTGGGGGTCACCTTCCTAGAACCATGTGTGAGATGACTGACTGACCATCAGACTCAGAACACCTTCCCAAGGACTTCTACAGATCTCTCTGCAAGAGCTAAAGCTGTGAGCCGCCGTTGGGGAAAGCGGCCCCCTCAATGCCCAACCGAGTTAAACGCCGGTCCCATCGGCTGCGGTTACTTTGGCACTGAGTGAGCCCCGCAGTACGTGGCCGAGATGCCGATGGCCATCTGCCGCCGGGCGCGCTCGATCACGCGGAGCATCTTGAGCTCGGTCTCCAGGTTGAGGCCGTAGCCGCTCTTGCACTCCACCAGCGTGGTCCCCGCCCGCATCATGCACTGCAGCCGCTGCTGGAAAGAGCCGAACAGCTCCTCCTCCGAGGCCTGGCGCGTGCGCTCCACGGTGAAGTTGATCCCTCCTCCGGCCTGGTGGATTTCCATGTATGTGGCTCCTGCCAACTGAACACAACGCTCAGCTCACCGTTAGGCAGAGCAAATGCAGGGAGGTTGCAGGCAGGTCTGCAGAACCTACCTGCGAGGGGGGAGGGGAGGGGTATTCAAAACGATTCACAATCTGTATGCTAGTGACTAGCCAATCAGAAAAGGGGTGGGGGCAGGGAATTCCCAGGAAAATACTGGAATGGCAGAGATGGGAGATGTGGTGGAGACTTCTGGTCTCAGGGCAGCGGCAATTTACCACCGGGTACAAAAGTATTTCAGTATTTTAACAATCCAATCTACCCAGTGTATACCAGTTAAATCTCTGCCTATGTCTCAGCACCTTTAAGAAAAAAACAAAGCTAAGCTATTCCGGGGAGGGCCCCACTGCAGTCACTCAAATCTCCACCAAGAGACTCAGTATTTGTCCACAAGAGTTTGGGACCTGACCTCTGTGGCTCAAGCAAATGAAGAGGCTCTTTGTGGGATCCCACGGGGCTCCTGTTACTCTGGGCAGCAGGAGTGTGGTGCACACGCAGTCTGCCTGCCCGGGGTCTCCGCCATGTTCATCTCGGTTCTGCCATGGTGAGCTGGTGAACGCAATGGACACCCTTCTCTCTGTGGACCCCACTTTCCACATCTATGCAATGAGAGAACTGGACTGCAAAGCTCTAAGGTTGCTTTTTAGAAACCTGGCTCTGAAAAGTTGGCTCTGAAATTCTGATTTAATAAAGAAACTCTTAAAAGCAGCTCTAGTGTGTTGAGGAAGATACACAATATCTGAGAATTTTTTCTTTTCCTAAATAATTTGCAAAGCTCTAAGGTTGCTCTTTAGAAACCTGGCTCTGAAAAGTTGGCTCTGGAATTCTGTGATTTAATAAAGAAGTCTTAAAAGCAGCTCTAGTGTGTTGAGGAAGGTACACAATATCTGAGAATTTTTTCTTTTCCTAAATAATGCAATTTAGCTGTTAGCATATAGACTTTCTTAGAAACAAAGTGAAGAAAAGGTATGGAGAAAACTCAAGTGCGTATCACCAAAAGGAAAAAGCCAACCTGGAAAGGCTACATACTGTATGATTCCAACTATACGACATTCTGGGAAAAGCAAAAGCATGGAGACAGTATAAAGATCGGTGGTTGCCAGGGGTGGGGGGAAGAAAGGAATGAGCAGGCAGGGTGCAGAGGATTTTGAGGGCAGTGTAACTAGTCTGTATGATCCCACAATGGTGGGTACATGTCATTTTACATTTGTCCAAACCCAAGGTAATGTAAACTATGGACTCTGGGTGATAATGTGTGTCAGTGTAGGTTCACCCATTGTAGCAAATGTACCACTCCACTGGAGGATGTTGAAAATGGGGAAGACTGGGGCGGTGGATGGATGGCATGCGGAAAATTTCTGTAGCTTCCGCTCAGTCTTGCTGTGAACCTAAAACTGCTCTAAAAGCTAAATTCTGCTAAAAACAAACAACGTCAAATTGGCTCCAACTAGCGATTTGAAGGTCTACATCTTATTAATGACTGATATTTTATGTTTCTTAATAAATCTCATTTTTCTTCTGGAAAAAATGAGAACAATATAAGATGTATTTTATTTTTGTTATGAGCAATATATTTTTCCTGGTTTGACCCTAATGAATGGTGATTTTCAAACTGTTTCCTGGATCCTTTTCAAAGGCTCCCAGAGCTGGTGGGATGGGTTGGGGGAAGGAAAAGAGAGGAGAAATTAGTGAGCAAGGCAGCTCAGCGCTGTTAGAATGAAGATTCTACAGTTAAAATTTTTTGAAAACGATTATACTTAAAGCGATTGTTATCCCTGTGCATAGTATAAAGATTTGGGACAGTTATAAAATAGTTAGTTTTGTTCTAATTTATTTTCTATAGTCCAGGCCAGTAAAATATCCATAAAAAGACACATAAGCAAAGACACAATATCAAATCTATGTTGCAAAGCCTGACAGCCCAAAGACTCTTTAGAAAAAGACTTGTCTGTTTGTTTATGCTTCATTTTGATTTGCAATCATTCATTGCAATTACCTTCATTGCAAACTCGTGAACTCTCTCACCAGCCCATACTGGATGTGTGTGTGCATCCACCAAACCTGTAATCAAGAAATCAAATCATTTTTAAAGTTAAGAGTCAGAAAGCCCTTAGGTAGCAGGCCCAATACACATCCTGCTCTTTGGAAAGCATGAGGGTGGTCAGCCATCTTGGAGGGGGTGGAAGAGGAAGAATTTGTCTATTAGAGGCCAGCTCTAAAAGAGGAGGGTGACTCAACATGATGAAAATTTCCTTTAAAAAAATACAGCTCCTTTTGCCCATTAAGCCCATGCTCACCAAGCGAGCTTTTGAAATAGGATGTCAACTCTGAGTTGAGCAAAACCAATGACCATATCACCAAGGTGATAGTCTGGGTGTGAAAACAGAATCATACAATCCCTACTGTCAACCTTGAGAAAGAAAAATATGAAATCAGAAAGATAAACCTTTCTTCAAGAAAAAATATATTTTAATTAAAGAGAAACTATAAAGCAATCACTTGGAACTTTTGTTTACCCTGGTACAATTCAGAAAAGTGTGTCTTTCCAGGTTATGTAAAATACCTAATGGATCAAGTGGCTGATGAGTGGGTTCTGATTTGGAGTAAAATCAGAAGTCCTTATTCAGATCACTTTCTATTGTATTCTGTGCTTTCTCATAAGGTTTCACCCTGGCTTTATCTTCTATCTCCCAAGAGCCAAAGGGTAGAAGCTCTATCAGATATACACAATACACACTTGAAATGGATAAATATTAGTCTCTAAGTTTGCACAGAACTCAGAGTTTGTGAAACTTGTTTCAGATCATTACACAAAGCCACAAAACATAGATCATATAGGAGGGAATGGTAAATAAGCTGATTCTGTTGTCAATCTCCAAAGATACATAGTCAGTGAAATCTCTAGGGATTTTTCTTTCCTTTTTCCATCTAGAGATGGGTCCTTTGTTGCATACTCTATTCGTCTTTAAAGTATATTCTGGTAGTGGAAGTAGCAGTTTTCCCTGTTTGCCCTCCCTACACAACACATTAATAAAATTCTTCTCACAGTTTTTTAACCTAAACACAACACACCTGGTCTCTCTGCATTATGTGAATGGGAATAAGTGGAATGAATGGATGGGTCTGAGTCCCAGCTTGCCCTTTACCTGTGTAGCAATCAAGGGTAAGATATTTCACCCCTGAACTTCAGTGTTCTAATCTGTAACATGCCGATAATGATCTTACCTTACAGGGCAGTTAAAGGATTCAATGTGAAAATATGTTTGTAAAGCAGTTAGCCATTTAATAGTAGAAAATAGATAAATTATAATTATTATATTTTAATATCATTGAAGGACCCTCTTTAAAACAAGCTACTACTCTTCCTCTTTATTTTACTAAAACTGCATTCGGGGTGTTACTGAAAAGAGGTTGATACCTGGCAAGATGCATTTCCCAGAACAGTCAATTCTTTCTTCAAACGTTTCTTCAGAAAACTGTTCTTGAATAACATTAGCAGGACCGATGGCTTTTATCAACCCATCCCTGAAGAAAAATCAAGGAATAATTACTAGTGTTTGGGGAAATATTGTGAGAAATCTGACTAATGATTTAAAATATGTTATCGATGTCTCTTGGTGTCAGTCAATATTTACTGTATTTCTTATTTGAAGTTCTGTCTTTGGGAAAGTGGCTCTAGCCACCTGTAAGGCAAAAGGTCAACTCATGTGTAGCAGAGAATGCTAGTTGTTCTCTGAGACCAATGTTTCTCTTTTCTCAAGGTGCTAGATTCCTAAAATTTAGCTGGACACATGATCACCCAGAATAAAGAACATTTCCCAGTCTCTTGGCAACCTGGTGAGGCCATGTGACTAAGTTTAGTCAATAGGATTGCTTTCTCTTCCTCTTTCCTAGTGGAAATATAGACACCACGAGAGATTGAGCAGCCCCGTGGGATGATGGAGTGACTGGAGCAAAAGGGTCTTGCACAACAGAGCAAGATAGTGGGGGCCTGAATCCTCAGGACTCCAGATTGTGGCCGTCAGCTAGCCTTGGATTCTTACTTTTGTGCATTTCCGTTAACTGATTTTAACAGATTTTGACAGTAACACTGGAAATGGTTGGATCCCTTTGTTAATTAGAAACACACAGTCCCTAAAAGATGAACTCTTACACAACCCTAAGCAGCTCAGCTACGAGGTGATACTGACTGACTGCTCTTGCACAAGCCCTGCCGTAGCTCTCCGATTCAAATTGGCATCCAACCCTTATTCCCGACCCAGGCCCGCCCTCCCAAACTGGCTGTTCTGTTATTCACTTCTAGCAGGAAGTGCAGAAGGTTTAAGGAAAATAATTGAAAATGCCCTCGTTTTCTGGTGGCTGAACCGTAATTTCCTATTACCCCAAACCATCACCATCTAAACCAGCGGTTCTCAACCTGTGGGTCGCGACCCCTTTGGGGATCGAACGACCCTTTCACAGGGGTCGCCTAAGACCATCCTGCATATCAGATATTTACATTACAATGCATAACAGTAGCAACATTACAGTTATGAAGTAGCAACGAAAGTAATTTTATGGTTGGGTCACAACATGAGGAACTGTATTTAAAGGGCCAGAAGGTTGAGAACCACTGAAACGTTTGCCCAACGTTTGCCGTATAGTTCCCAAGCTTTAGTGCACAGAAGAAAGGAGTGGGAGAGGTATTTATAAAAATTCAGGTCTCCGAACTCCCCCCACGGAGATGCTGGGGATGAAAAGAAAAAAAAAGATCTGGAGATGAAGGTAGCGGGGAGGTGGCGGGTCTGAAATCTGTCTTCTTATTTATTTATTTATTTATTTAATCTCAGGCCATCTGACGCAGGTGGCCCCTTGGCCACACTTCAAGAAGCCCTGGAAAGAACCCCAACCCCTTCTGATTGCTGGACAATGATAGTTTATCAGCAGAGGCGTCCCAGTGCCATGTGCAGCTTGAGTGCCGTTTTTTTCCACCGAATGACAACCCGAGACCGTCAAACCTGTTAGCAACAGGCTCCTAAAAGGCAGTCCAGCCAACGTCTCGCCGGGTTCGGGAAAGCTTTTACCCGGTTTCCCTCCACAGCGCACACATTCTAGAAAAAGCGCCCGACTAGGACCCGTCTGACGGGTCCCTCCAACCCGCAGCCACTTACGTGCCCACCACGAGGCTGGCGCCCTCCAGCACCGCCAGGCTGCGC